TAAATAATGTATACCCCACGTCCAAAACATAGGATCCACCGGCTCTTAATTCTTCTGCTATAGGGGAGCAGAAGTTTCCCCCCCATAGCGTCCGGAAGAGATGGTGTTGCACTTGCAACCTATCCACCTGTCTCTCATCCGTTATCATATTTATATTGACCATCCGGTCATTTTTACTGTTTGAACTCGAAGACCTCCTTAAGTTTGAATTTTTATTTCCCATATTTTAATAATGAAAGTATTGAAATCAAAAAAGGAATGTAGAAAATATTTCAAAGAATGGGTGGATAGAATTGTTGAATGTTGAATAACATGAATATAGAATGATAATTTTTTTTATATATATAAATGCATAATATGCATCGCAATCGAATTAGCTTATATATTGTAATTGGTATCTCATTAGACAATTGACCTGAATTATTTGCTAACAGATAATCATGGAAGCTTATCAAATGTAACTTGAACAATTTTTAGATATAGTAAAAGATGAATTAAACATTTATACATCATGTGGATGATTGGTTCATTTAATTCATCCCCTGCTTTTGTACAATATTTAATCAGTAACGCATACGTTACGCGCAAGGAAACAAATTAATTTCTTAATAAGGTATAGCTTGGATGAACATTTTCGATTGCCATTTCCCTAAAAGTAACTTTCACGGTAATGTTACAAAGAGATATTTAAATTGTTAGGATTTAATTTATGGATTTAATTAAACAAATATTAAAAACTTGGTTAACGGTTAATATAAAAAAGAGTAAATCGACCAATTGAGCTCGAAGAAGAAAAAAATTTGAGAATCATTTGTTGATTGGTGAAAAAAAAGTTTTTTTATTGATACAAGAAAACATATGCAGGTTTAAGCCAAAAAAGTCGAAAAAGAAAAGAAAAAAAACTCTGATTATCGGATGATCAATTTCTTTTACTTCTAAAAGTTATATAATTTTTTTTTTTTTTTGTAAACTTAAAGGTGGTAATATTTTCCGGCGAAATCTATCATGTAGATTTATTTATTGGACGCACGGTTTATGACAGATAAATATAATAACACTAAAATATTTAATAAATTGGGTTCATATTTAATTTTATTTGTAATTTTATATTAAAAAGGAAACAAATAATCATGTTATATCAAAAGCAGTAATGGCAAATGACCAGGTCATTTGGCTCAGTCATCCAGTCATTTAAGATCACAATTTCAGCCGAATGTAAGCATAATGGGAGAAATATTTAACGAAAATACAAGGAATAACTTTAAACGAAATTATTAAGTCTATAATATAACCCGAAATATATATAAATTTCAAATGATCATGTTTTTGTCAAATGACCATTTAAATGAGAAAGTGCTTAGTAATTTTGTACCATAAAAGAACATAACGCCCCTTATACATAAATGTTGTATAAAATGCATTTCATTTAGAGACAAGATTATATAATATTTTAAAAATTAACATATTGATATATTTCTAGCTTAAATTTATCCAATTGCACAATTTTTCTTTATATTATAATTATATCAACATAATATAGAAAAACGTTCATTTATCTCTATAACGGGAACAAAATATTAAATAATTGATTTCCAGATAAATTGATGTTTACTATAATCATAAAGTAAAAAATCATAAATTTGGGGTAAAAAAAATTTTCCCTCGAAAATTTTATCGTTATAAACAGTTGCAAATTAATAAATAATGATAAATCATGAATTATTTGCCTTTGATTAGTTTATCGATTAAAAATTTGATAAAACAACTATTTTTATTATAATAAAATTTTATAATATACATTTTATAATTCAATATTTTTTATAAAGTATTCGTTATTGTTTATAATTAGATTAATTAGATTTATTTTAATAAATTAAGGTTTTATTATAATTAATTTTATTAATTTTTAAAATAATTAAACTTATTTTTGTAAATTTTTAAAAATGTACTTATAAAAAGTTTTATTATATTGATACTTTTGCAGTAGAGTTTAGAATCGATATTTGGCATTCGAATTTAAATCCGGTTTCTTCCGATTCGAATTTACATTTTATCTGGATATAAAAATCCGGTTCCTTCGTTTCTTCCGGATATAAATTTATTTTGTTTTATTTTGTTAATTGATAATATTTTTTTTAATGTACTGCATTACATTTAATACAATTTAAAAAAAGTACCGAAAAATTAAATTCCTAATTATAGGAAATCTAAGACATTCAATTTTGGAAAATGTTGCGTCATTAAGGTGCATTTGTTCTATAAAAACTTTTTTTGCGAGATTAACGAAATCCTACATTTAAGTATTTTAAAATATATAAAAATTAAGAGAATTTATACTTAAGGCAATAAAAACCGTTTTATTAAACTATATAAATTGTTCTTATTCAATAAATGCTAGGAAATTCCACTAATAAGTTTCTAAAGGAGAAAATAACAACATACGATTTACTAAGTCAGGAGACATTGTGTTCTTTTTGAAGAAATATGATTACCTGCATCAGAAAAAATAAATTCACTAGATACAGAATTTAAAGATACTTTCGAGCTAATTTGGATAAAACAGGTACAAGTTAATGAATCTGAAGATAAGTACAATCAGTTTAGTAGAATATGTATATGATAGACTACAAATTAAGTTATGAGAGCTTTTGTTTTGATATCAATCAAAAAGAAGTTCAATAAATATGAAAAGTTAATTATATCACAACATTTAAATCATACTATAAAATAATACTTAATGATATGACATTATTTTGTATATATATATTATTAACTAAGGGATGCTATATAAGTATTAATATCAAATCCTTCTTTAGTCTAAATAAGGTTATCTTTTATATAGGCTTTATATATGTTAGTTTAAATCAATATAAAAAACTATACTAGGTAAAAGAAACCATTGAAAAGTTTAGATAACATAAATAAAATGATCACAAGTTATAATATAAATGATTTAATCAATCAGTAAAATGTATATAATCACGTATATAATAGATAAATATAATAAACAAAATTGCATTAACTCAAACAACAAGTGGGTAAACAAAATTTATTAAGTTACATATTATTTAATAGTCCTTTGCTTACATTCTAGACTAAAGATGATAATCATAATTATTCTATTATGTTGCAATAAATAATAAATTAATTAAGTAATATAACATTATTTATGAAAAAGGATTTAGAAATAACAAAAATTATATCTTGAATTAGTCTCTCAATTAAGAGATTAAAAATTAAAAAAACCACTATATAATGTGTCTTATATTAAAAAAAATGATACTCTATTAAAATGGTGGAATATATGTTTTTCTAATTATAATCATCTTTAAACTCTTGCAATAAAAATTATTTTTATTACTCCTAATGCAATAAGTTATAAAAGAATTTGATCAACAATTGAATAAATATATGAAAAAAGAAGAACAAAAATGTCAATTATTATAATTAAATTTTTATCAAAGATTTATAGATATTATATTACAAATATTAAAGATGAATTATGATATTATCAATCAAATATATTTAAAATAATATAATAGAATTAATACAAGAATCATTAAGTGAAACATATGAAGAACCAGTTAAAGATGACAAAGCAATCATTTTATCAAATTTAAATGAATCAGAAATATTAAGTAATAATATCAGTATAGAAGTATTAAATATATCTATATTGTTTAATTAAGAACTAATTGTTGTAGTTGAATATGTAAATATTTCTAATTTTAAAAATAGAATAGATGTAAGTAAACGTAATGATAATGAAACAGATAAGGAATTTGATATAGAGGAATTAGTTAATAATATCTTTTAATAAGAATAATATATTTTAAATTTTTTACTTTTATTTTTTCTTTAATATGTATATATATTAATATAATTAAGAAACTTAAGATAATTAAGAATAAATAAAAAAACTTATATAACAAATAAACTAAATAATATATTTATTTTTATGATTTTATGATTACATATGTTTACATAATCAAATCTAAAAAAAGAGAACGTTAGTAAACATTTTTAAAGCCTACCAATCTAAGAAAAAAAAATTAATTCATTTACCAATTAGTTTTCAAGATTCAAAGAAAGCCAGTCCTAAAAAAGAGAAGAAAAAAATGTTAGTAATGTTCTCAAAGAAGCTTACCTTATTCAAGAAAGAATTAATTTACTTATTAGATATTTTCAAAATCTAAAGAAAGTTAGTTTTAAAAAAGAAAAAAAAAAAGAACGTTAGTAAGTACTTAAAAAAGCTCATCCAATTTAAGAAGAAGGAAGAAATTTACTTACTAAATATTTTCAAGATCCAAAAAAAACAGTCATAAAAAAGAGAAAAAAAAAGAATGTTAGTAAACATTTTCAGAAAAGCTTACCTAATTCAAGAAGAAAGAAAAAATTTACTTATTAATAATTCTCAAGATCTAAAGAAAGCTAATCCTAAAAAAGAGAAAAAAAAACATTAATAATATTTTCAAAGAAGTTCACCTAATATAAGAAAGAATTAATTCACTTATCAAATATTCTCAAGATCTAAAAAATACCAGTTCTAAAAAAGAGAAAAAAAAAGAACATTAATAACATTCACAAAAAAACTCATCCAATCTAAGAAAAAATTAATTCACTTATTGGATATTTTAAGGTCTAAAAAAAGTCAGTTCTAAAAAAGAGAAGAAAAAAGAACATTAGTAACGTTTTTCAAAAAACTTATTTAATTTAAAAAGAAATTAATTTACTTATTAGATATTTTCAAGATCCAAAGAAAGCCAATTCTAAAAAAGAGAAGAAAAAAAACATTAGTAACGTTCTTAAAGAAGCTCATCCAATTCAAGAAGAAGAAAGAAATTCATTTACCAATAATTCCTAAAATCTAAAGAAAGCCAGTCCTAAAAAAGAGAAGAAAAAGAAAATTAGTAATATTTTTAAAGAAGCTAAGAAGGAATTAATTCACTTACTGAATGGTTCTTAAGATCTAAATAAGGTTAGTTCTAAAAAAAATAATAAAATTAAAATTAAAAATAAAAAAAATTAATAAAATAAAATAAAATTAAAATAAAATAAAAATAAAAATTATAAAAAAAAAATATATAAAAAGTAATAACTGATTTTAATTGATTTGAAAAAGAAACTATCAATATTGCAAATTATATCTAGTATGATTAAAAGTATTATCAAAGATAAGAAAAGAATGGTATTAGAAAATAATTAAAAAAAGCAAAAATTATA